GCTGTTGCGTGATGCGCTGTTGCGTGATGCGCTGTTGCGTGGTGCGCTGTTGCGTGGTGCGCTGTTGCGTGGTGCGCTGTTGCGCTGTTGCGTGGTGCGCTGTGTGTTGCGTGGTGCGCTGTGTGTTGCGTGGTGCGCTGTGTGTTGCGTGGTGCGCTGTGTGTTGCGTGGTGCGCTGCCTGTTGCGTGGTGCGCTGCCTGTTGCGTGGTGCGCTGCCTGTTGCGTGGTGCGCTGCCTGTTGCGTGGTGCGCTGCCTGTTGCGTGGTGCGCTGCCTGTTGCGTGGTGCGCTGCCTGTTGCGTGGTGCGCTGCCTGTTGCGTGGTGCGCTGTTGCGTGGTGCGCTGTTGCGTGGTGCGCTGTTGCGTGGTGCGCTGTTGCGTGGTGCGCTGCTGCGTGGTGCGCTGCTGCGTGGTTCGTTGCACCGTTACACGGTTGCGCGGCTGCATGCACGGTCGCGCGGTTGCACGGTCGCGTGGGTCGGCGGCTGCCCTCTGTGTGGTCGAGGTGTGCTAGTGGTGGCGGCGGGCTCGGTGACGGAGGTCACCTCGACAGAGCGGGGGTCTTACGGTGTGCGCGGTCTCTTCTCTCTGGCAGATTAGTGCTGTGCCTCTTTCTCTCTGACAGAATAGCGAGGGGGCTGGCAACTGCTGCATGGTCTCTCTGACAGAGGCAAGGGCTGCGCGGCCTCTTCCTTGCTGACAGCGTGGCGCAACTCCCTCCGAGCCGATTCCTGTGAGTCTCTCCAGGCCTACGAACTTCCGCAGGACGGCTCTCCGCTACAGATGCAGGCGCCCAAGCTCTCCCGGGAACTGGTTTGCTCAAAGCGGTGCCCCTCTCAGGTGGCTACAGGGGTAAGACTCTCGATACAGATTGGGTCGGACGACGTCGCGGCGGGCCGTATTGTGGTCGAGGTGCGCCGCCCAACTCATGGGGGAGCGATTCGTGTCGTCGTCCCCGTTTGTCCCTACCGCAAGCCACTGTAGGTGCCTCCGCAGGGTCTCCTCAGGTTTCTGGCCTTCATCGGAGGTGGTCAGCTGCACCTACAATGGCAAACAATGCAAGGTATAGAGAGAGATGTCCTATTAGTAGTAGTCCTGGTTTGCGTTCGAAAAATGATAAAATAAATTTGTCAATAGATTGATAGCATTCTTCAGCACGCGCTCACAGAGAATGGTAATCATCGCATTTCTTATCGACAGCTATCATACGGGCCATATATAATTTTGTGGAAGAAGTGGGTTAAAGAAAGATACAAAATCAAAGAAAATCAGAACTACTCTATTTAATTTCAAATCCCGAAAAGATGGACATCAAGGATCACTACTCAAAGATCTTAATATCCACCTGCTCGGCATAATTAGTCTCTTAGAAAGGTTCTCCGGAACACTCACGCGAATTGACAAAGAAAATAGTATTCGTTCCCGTGATGTGAGGACGACAAAATACTTACAAATATGTGGGTCACGTTTTTGAAGCTATCATAGAAGAAAGTACAAAAATGTAGTTTGCTTCACTTGGTCCTCCTGGTGTGGAGATATTTTATCTTTGGCTTTATATCGTTATGGCCTCTCTTCTGAACCTGAAAATCATTGTCAAGTTGCCAATTTGGAATTTCGAACTTTCTTGACTTTTGAAGGCGAAAGCTGCTCCCGCTTCTCCTCTTCTGCAGCGGACAACGCTATGACAAGAGGACGCGAAGGCTCGTGCCGATTCTCCGAAAAGTTCGAAGGCGACAGTCGGACTCGTCCCTCGATTTTCCTTTTGGAGTCTCTATTTCGCAGCTTTTTTCGTGACTTTGTAGCGGAAACTTCGCCATAGAAAAGATTCTTGCCGCCGCTTGTTGCGTGATTTTAGATTTAGATCGGTTCTCCCTGTCTCATAATTCGTATTCATTTCCTTTGGATCTTCTCCTCAGAATCAAATCCCAAGCGGAATACTGAGAAAGTCTTCATCTGTGCAAATCACTCTGTAAGAGCCTTAAGCATGCCCATCGCTGCTGCCCCTGTTCAACCCATCGTCCTCCGCTGCACTGGTTGCGTCTACGCTCTCCTCATACACACCGCTTTCCGCGTTTGACTGGTTGTGCCCCGGCGCTTCGCCTTCCCGTTGCGGGCGTTTAGTGGTCTTTCTCCCGGTGGCCTTTTCCTGTATTTTCTTCTTTTCTTTTTTGCTCTTGGTCTTCCCGGTGGGAGCGGCCGCCGGAGAGATGGATGGCACAACTAAACCCCGTATCGACTGCATGGCGCCGGCCCGAGACTCCGCAGAGATGGATGGCACCTCTAAACCCCGGATCGACTGCATGGGGCTGGCCGGAGACGCCGGAGAGATGGATGGCACAACTAAACCCCGTATCGACTGCATGGCGCCGACCCGAGACTCCGCAGAGATGGATGGCACCTGTAAACCCCGGATCGACTGCATGGGGCTGGCCGGAGACGCCGCATAGATGGATGGCACCTCTAAACCGCGGATCGAATGCATGGCGCTGGCCGCAGACGGAACTTGAGGTACGCTGGACAACTGCGGCGCCGAATCGGAAGCTTTCGCCGCCAGTATTAGCGCTCGGAATAATTCGATTTATGCATCTATAATATTCATCTTCTCAATAACATTAACAGGAGGAAAGAGAGCGAAATACTCACTTCTTCGACGATGGATAATTGTTATGAGCCCTAATTTGACGACCGGAGCCGCAGCGGACAAGATATCTTCCTTCTTTCCATCAGTGGAAGCTGCAGTATTCTCCGGATCGCTCTGGCTTTTTTTGGGTGAAGCAGTTGGAGATTCACCTTGGGCAGGTGACGGCTGCAGCGCATCTCCATCAGGACCCTCTGCAGCGAGTTTCATGTCCGCAGCTTTTTCAGCATTAGAGTGCCATAGTTTATATGAACCCCCGCATTAGCTCCAAGCCAATTATTATGCTGTTGCCGCCCTAAGCCTCAGCCTCACTCATCAAAGACCCTAATAAAATCCGAGAAGAAACGCTCCGAGGGCGTCCCCTTCGGCAGAAGTTCCGTATGGTCAAACTTGTATGTAAAACTACCGAGCTCAACCTCAAGCACACGTATCTTCAGGGTACACGAAGAAGTACCTACTCCGTTCCAAGTATATCGCAATGTAGCCTTAACAGCAACACCCCCCTCGTCGCCGGGAGCAGTGGCATTTGCTATCAACTGGTCTTCAGGTGCGGATATCGAGGCACCGCTCTCGGAGTCGGAAGAGCAAAAGAGGCGGAGCACAATTATGAATGTTCTTGGGTAAAAGGGCTCGGCGATAGTGAAGATCTTGATGACGATGATGGTGGTAATATATATTAGTATCTATTTATAGGGTAAGCAACTTTTCTGAAATCCTTAAGAGTCTCCGCGAAGTGCGTTCCTTAAGGAAACTGATTTCCTTAAAGAAATTTTATTATAAAAGGTGCTTATAACTTTCCATAAGGCAAAAAGTTTCCCTTAAGGGAGCTCTTGAGGCTGTTATAGTCTTAGGCTAATAATATGCCCTCCCTGAGGGGATTTGCAACGACTCAAAAACAAGCAAAGTCTTCAGGCGTGTTCTGCCCGGCAGTCCAGAGATTTCCTGGAGTTTTTGCCAGTGGTCTACTTTGTCGCCCAAATTGCCAACCCCCATCATGATCCCCCCCAACACACTACGCGCCCACCCCGAGCGAGTCACCCCTACGAACTTCCAACCGCTACCCTTATGACCGCCCAGCGCCTTTTTTTTTCAAAAACTTCAAGAAAGTCACCCAAATACAGAAAAAGCCAGGCGACCTCCCTGAAATTTTTGGAAAAGAGTTAGGCTGGCTCTTCCCCTTCCGCGACTACCTTCCCTCCGCGCACGCCATCACCAATCGACCACAGGAGCGCGCGGGCGTGTCCGGGTTTGGCCGTCTCATGGACATGATGACGCTGCGCCCAAGAGGCTCCACCCTTCAGATATGGCGTCCTTCAGATATGGAGGGGCCCAGACCAATTCTTCTCACAAGCATCGGCGCCCCCCATGCCCTGTCCTCTACTTCTGCTTCTGTGCACAGATGTGCCCACGTTTGGCCTTCTCATGGACATGATGACGCTCAAGAAGCTCCACCCTTCAAGCATGGGGGTGCCCAGCTCTATCCATCTCACAGGCATCGACCTCCGCAACGCCTTCCACCTTCGGGCATTCTCATGGACATGATGACGCTCAAGAGGCTCCACCCTTCAGAAATGAAGGCGCTCAGGCCTATCCATCTCGCGGGCATCGAGATCCCCAACGCCTTCAACCTTCGAGCGCGGAGGCGTATAAGCTTGGCCCTCTCATGGGCATGATCGACGATGTTCACCAGGGTCAGCCTCAGCCCACCCTTCAGACGTGAAAGGGCTCAGGCCTATCACGCTCACAAGCATCGGCACCCCCAACGCCTTCAGCCTTCGAGTACGGAGATGCATCCGCTTGGCATTGTCATGGACATGATGACGCTCAGGCGTGGAAGTGCTCAGATTCATCAACCTCACAGACGTCGACGCCCGACATCCCCGACGCCTTCAACCTTCGGGCACCACGGAGGTGCATCGGCTTGGCCTTCTCATGGACATGATGACGCCCACCAAGGTCCACCCTTCAGGCATGGAAGTGCTCAAAGCTATCATCCTCACAGACATCGACATCCTCAACGCCTTCAACTTTCGAGCGCGGAGATCCAGAAGCAGCGTGGTCTCCTCATGGGCATGATGATGCTCAAGAGGCTCCACCCTTCAGACATGAAGGTGCCCAGATCTACCCATCTCGCAAGCATCGACACCCCCAACGCCTTCAACTTTCGGGCCCAGGCGTGTATAATAGTGGCCTTCTGATGGCCATGATGATGCCCAAGCGGCCCCACTCTTCAGACATGGAGGCGCCCAGATCTATCCGGCTCACAAGCATCGACATCCTCACCGCCTTCAACTTTCGGGCACGGAGATCCACCAGCCTGGCCTTCTCGTGGACATGATGACGCTCACGTCACCAGGGTCCACCCTTCGGACATGGAAGTGCCCAGAAGGAGCTGTCTACCATTCTCACGAGCATCGACACCCCCAACGCCTTCAACTTTCGAGCACAGATATGCACTAGCCTGGCCTTCTCATGGGCATGAGGTGACGACGCTCACCAAGGTCCACCCTTCAGGCATGGAAGTGCTCAGGAGTATCATTCTCACAAGCATCGACATCCTCAGCGCCTTCAACTTTCCAGCACGGAGATGCACAAGCTTGGCCCTCTCGTGGGCATGATGATGCTCAGACCTATCACTCTCACAGGCGCCGACCATCCTCAAGCCCCTCCACATCTGTGCGCGGATATGTCCACGCCTGGCCTTCTCGTGGACATGATGACGCTCAAGAGGCTCCACCCTTCAGACATGGAGGCGCGCAGATCGATCCCTCTCACGGTCATCGGCATCCCCAGCGCCTTCAACTTCCGAGCCCGGACGTGTATACGTTTGGCCTTCTCGTGGACATGATGACGCTCAAGAGGCTCCTCCCTCTGGCCATAGATTGGAGTGGATGGCTTTTAATTCTCCCCCAGCAGGCCCCTGATGGGCCCGCGTACTGGGCACGTATGATTATGATTAAGTACTACGATGATGATATTCATGATCATAATGATAATCGAAAATGGCAATACCGTCGACGATAAGAATGTGAATGATGATGCCGCAAGTAAGTAAGAGGCCCGCGAGGTGCTTCATCGATTTACCTGAGCAGGGGTGTCCTGACGAGCTCTGCCCCGAGCAGCAGTCTACAGACGGGCAACTTCCAGCCTTCATCATGTATGACTTGCTCCTGATATATTTCTTCTCCATAAAAATGCCGTATGAGAGGAAATATAGTTGAACAGAAACACGATAATGATACATTTGAATTCGTATTTTCATTTCATCCATAAAACACACGACGAGGATTCCGATAACGGTAAGTGCGATGACGGTACCCAACAAGATTCCCCAGAGCCCGACTCTTTCCAGCACAGAGATAGTCTGTTTCAAGCTGTCTTTATCCTCAGCAGGCGCAACACGCCCGATATCTTCAGTGTCTGTAAGTTATTCATTTGGATTTTTGTCGTATCGAGCCCTCATCAAACCAACTCTGAGCAAATGCAGACAACTGCCTGATGGCAATCAGCTCACTATGTATTTAGACTGGTTGTGTTGTGTCATTCCCACATGTCGCGTGGCGTCGAACTACTGTCTCTAGTGATCGTAGAAATTCAAAACCTGAAAATCGACAATCTCGATTAGAATTACACCTGATTCCGAAAAAATCAAGAAATCCAAGATGCAGGCTGTTACCTTTGGACAGTCCACCTTCTTCCTGTCGGTGGAGGTCCTGCGGAATGTGCGACTGCTCCGTGCCTACAACAGTCTCGGCTGCTGTCCCGGCGTGCGCTCCCTGAGCAGTTGCAAGATCACCCTGTGCAGCGGGCGCAGTAGCATCGTCTTTGTTTTCGTCGGGTGGATTCCCATTTTCTCGAGCAGCATCATTGCTCGTGGTATCAGCTTGTGCAGCGGGTGTAGTAGCAGCGTCTTGGTTTTCGGCGAGCGGCTTCCCCTTTTCTTGAGTAGCACCCTGCCCAAGAGAATCACCCTCATGAACCGCTGCAGCAGCAGGAGTAGCGTCTTTGGCTTCGGCGGGCTCCTTCTCTTTGTCATCTCTAGCGCCATCGGTGCTCGCAGCATCATCCTCTGCAGCGGCAGGAGGGGCACCGTCCTCTTTGGTTTCGGAGAATCGCTGATCTTCCGCTGGAGCGCCATTCTCTATATTCTCACTCGTGGGGCCACCCTCTGGAGCGGGCGCAGTAGCATCGTCTTTCTTTTCTGCGGGTGACTTCCAGTCCTCTCGGGCAGCATCATTGCTCGTGACGCCAGCCTCTGCAGCGGGCGCAATAGCTTCGCCTTCGGTTTCGGCAGGTCGCGGATCTTTTGCAGGAGCAACACCCTGCTTCAGAGCGTCACCCCCTCGTGCGGCTCCAGAAGAAGCGTTGGTTGTTTCGGCGACTGGCTGACCTTTTTCTTGAGGATCATCCTGCCTCGTGGGCGTGGTTTCTGTATCTGTTCCATCGTTCCTATTCTCGGCATCTTTACCAGACTTCTCGCCAGGGCTACTCTGGTTGCCCTCGAGACGGGCTGCAGCGGGCTTTCCGCTCCCAGCAAGGGCTCCGGACTTCGCAGCACCCTTCCCCAAACTGGCAGAAGACTCTCCCATTCCACGAATGCCGGATCCGTCCACTTTCGAGTGGTCAGGAAAAGACGTGATCATCGGACCATCCGGCTTCGCACTTTGGCCAAGCGTTTCTGATGCTGGCTCATCGCGGACTTTCTGAGCAACGACGCCAGCTTGCTCGCCGGCAGTGCTAGGTTGTTCCTGGGATACGCCGCCAGCCAGAGTAGGGTCCTCGGCATTAGCAGCGGGCCTGATACCATCTGGTGCACGTGCTACATGAATATCATCAGTGACCCCGGAGGGATTTCTCGACTCACCTTGACGTTCACCGCCGTTTAGTTCAGGAGCCTGAGCATCTGCAATCTTCCCCTGACCCGATGTCGCCTCCCCTGATTCCACCTCTTTCTTCCCCCCCGGTGTTTCCGCCTCTCTGGTTGCCACGTCCCCTTTTGGTCGCTTCTCTGATGGCACCACCTCCCCTTTTGGTGGCTCCTCTGGCAGCGCCGCTTCCTCTTTTGGTGGCTCCTCTGCTGGCGCTGCCTCCTCTTTTGGTGGCTCCTCGGCTGGCGCCGCCTCCTTTTTTGGTGGCTCCTTCGCCAGTGGTGCTTCCATACCCGCGTGCGCCTGTGGCACCTCCGTTGGCTTCTCCAGCGCTGGTGCCGGTGCCAACTCCTTCATCGCCTTTACCGCGAAGGGCAGACGAGGTTCGTCAGCGGAGGCACTGATGGCAGAAGGGTTGGTGCCAACAGGCTGCCCCTTGTCGCGTGCTTCTCCGTGTTGCATCGCTACTTCTGCCTTCGCCACACCTGTGGTCGACCTCGCCTCCATCTCCCCCTCTGCTGCATTACGGCGTCCGTCGCGACCAGAAACAAATCCTCCTGCCGGAGGTTCAAAAGCATGCTGTCCGCTGCGATCGCTGCTAGCGGCACTGATAGCGACAGCGACCTTACGATCAGCAAAAAATCGCCTCACCTCTAGGAGTGCTGCAGACGGATGAAGCGGAAAATGCACCCAAAAATCGCCAGGGAGAACAGGGTCATCTTCGCCGTCAGAAACGTCAACGAGATGAAATGCGATGCCCTCGATTACCTCCCCAGTTTCCGAATACAATGAATTCAAATCACTCTGTTGTTGCCGAGCGAGATTCAAAAGCTGCGTTCCACGATTCGTAAGTGCTTCGTTCTCCACACCACGCAGAGTGCCTAGTTGCTTCTCCAGATGGCTCAGTTCGGCTTTCGCCAAAACACGCTGCCTTTTTACGAAACGGTCTAGGTCTGCTTCGACAGAAAAATCGGACCCTCCCGCGCTCTTCTCCGTTTCGTCGCAAAACAGAAGATTTCTGATATTAGCTGCCTGGTCTTCCTCCAGCAACGCCAATTCGATGTCGCTGAATTGAGTACTGCACATCTGAGCCTCCACAAGAGTATTCATCGCATCGTAGTAGCGTTCGACTATCATGATCTTCGCTACGTCTTGCTCCAGCTTGGTTAGTTCCGATACTTCCACTTCCTGCCCTGTATCTTCGTGAGACTGCGCTCCTGAAATTGCCAATTCGAACTGAGCAGCAAGCTCTCTCGGCGCCGACGCGGCACAAACACCTCCGGCTTGAGCTCCTTCTCCTGGTGGTAGTATTGCCGCCGGAGATTGATTGTCTTTGTCTGCGTTTCCGTGTAGATCAAAAAGCAAGGGACATGCATTATTAAGTTCCTCCACTAGCACTTTTATTAGTTGTACTTTTGGCAGGTTATAATTTTGGCGTCCACCTCCATCATCTTCATCTTGAGTTGCTCCTCCAACCCGAGCAACAATCTCAACGCGGGCATCCAGCAGCCACTGCAAGGAGACTGCCTCCAACTCTTTTCCGCTCTCAACAAAACTCGATTTCATCTTCTGTAGTTTCTCTGCCTCGTCCTTTGTTTCGAAGAAGAAGCTTCGCAGAAAGATCTGTCCGCTGCATCTCCTGTCGTCACTTTTATCGCAGAAGAAGGTCAGCAGCGTATTTAGATAGCGATTCAAATCTTGCACCACCTTCTCCTCAAACGCTGTAGACGCGTTTGTTTGGCTTTTCAAAAAAACAATGACAAAAGCAAGTACACGGAAGCTCCAGAGCACTTTGGTAAACGCCCGCACGATAGTCAGCAAATCCAGCGTCTCTGAGTCCTTCTCATTCAGTTTCAGCAAGAAAGAGTTAGAGAGATCACCACAGCCCTCAAAGGTAGAATATGAATATTGCTGCACACGAAAAGCTTCCGCCAGGAAACCCTGAGGTTATCACAGCAGAAATCTAGTCAAATTATGAGATCAGAGATACTTCTACTTTAGCCTGACTGTGAGCGTGTTTAACAATATCCACAGTTTTGTGAAAGAGGAACGAAACCAAGAACGCGCGAACGCGCTCAGTCAAGAGGAGTCGCAAAGAATGGAGAACCTTGTCTAAAAAGCGTGCGCGAGCTCAACAGTCTACGCATAGGGCAGAGCATCAAAAGCATAAGTGGAAATACCTAAAGATACATCCTTCAATATTTAAGTGAAGTCAAAACTTCAATTAAGATTAACTAAGAAAACACTTCTGCGAGAATTCGTAAAGGACACCGCGTCCGCTGCAGCGTCGCTTGCAAGATCCGCCGCGATCGCACTGTAAAGCTTTCCCGTCAGCTGCACCGGTGCTTTCTCCTGGGACCCGATATTGTTGATGATGTCGCGCCCTTTCGTAATCAGATCCGCTGCTTCACCCAGGCAATGCAGCAACGTCCTCAGGGATTCCGATTGTTTTGTCCCTTGCGGTATCTTCAGCCGTTCTCCTTCGATTTCGAGAAGTTCTTTAACCCTGTGAGCGAGACTCTTCTCCAAATGAAATGCCTCATATGCATCCGAGTCGCTTAGCTGCCGATAAGACTTGATATAGGTTTTGTTAGAACCTTTAGACGACACCCACCTCCTCGTGCAGTACGTTGCTGCCCAGCAAAGTGTTGTGGAGGTTGGATGTCAATACGAGCCATAAATTTTCGCTGCCGTATGTCTATTAAAAGGTTATTTTCTTTGGCAACCTGCGGGGCCGACTGTTTCTCGGTACTAAAAAATTTCCTATTGACGTTTTCCGCCCATTCCAAGGGGACCTTGTAGAGTTGATTTGAGAGATCCTCGGCAGTCCAACTGTTTACCTCCTTATCGTTTGCTTGTCTCTGGCAATCATTCAATGACTGTGTGTCGGCGATTAGAGCTTCATCCTGAGTACCGCACATCTGCATCCGAGACTCCTCTGTCTCGCTGCTGCCCATCACCTGGTTACTCCTATAGAAGAGCCAACGGCTCTGCCCGAACTTCTCTGGGTCGAGTGTCTCCGAGGTGTCACTGCAGAGAAAACAGCGGACGATGCGTTTCGGCGACAGCTGCATGTCCATCGCATCATTGACGTTGTCAGCTAGTAGTATTTCTCGCTTCTCTTCGAGAAATTTGCTGAAACTCTTCACACCAGGTATTTCGAAACGCGCCTCGCACATGTCCCCCTCAGTCTGCGGGTCCCACTTTTCATCCTTCCAGGAAAGACGCCTGTCCTCATTCCGTATCTGCCCAACCTTTGTTCCTGTAGCTAACGTGGCTAATTTCTCTAATACCTGCCAACGCAGCAAGACGCACGCTCGAAAAACCACTTCTACCGCAGTCAGAGCCCATTCCACCTGGCACATCCGTTTCCTGACTGCTTCTCCCTTTGCTTTTCGGTCCTCGTTCGTATTGAAAGAAACCTTGAGTTTTGTCGTGTCTCTGGGGTTCGGTACGAAAATGAGCTCCTGTTCCTGTAGCTGATCATGGAGATTTCTCTCAGCCGTTTCCAGCGTGAGCAAAGATCGGTCCACTGCGTCTCCGTTTCTATTCTTGATTAGTATTAGCATTAGAACTAAATCGATAATAGAAAACGCTTTTCTACAAGTTTATCTCTCCCGGCCACCTCCCTCAGGCAACCCAGAAGAAAATCTTTGATGCGTAACAACGAAGGCGTGTGACGAGTAGCAACTGTAGATGAAGCACGTAAAAATATGGCTTAGACCACCAGCGACGAGGTCACGATGACGAGTATAAATGATCTACTTTCTTATCAGTAGTGCTACAGCATATATTCATGTTCGCCCGTACAGGAGCACTGGAAATCCTCTGAAAACGAAAGAACCATTAGCCTTAACTCGCCCTTTCCATCGAGAATCGACTCAAAACCACGATAAAGCCTTTCCGGGATAAATCCATCGCAGAATTTGGTCTCAGATGGAAGTGCCATCTTCGCTCGTAGGCTCTTCGCTGCCGCTACAATTACACCTCGTAGTCATTCATTTCTACGACCATACTTTCTAATCTGCCTCTGAGGCATCATCTGGAAAAGAAAGCAAGCGGTGATAATGAATTATCGCGAGCCGTAACGAAGCCGCATAGCTTAGCGCAGGTCTATTTCCTCGTCTTCCGCAAGAGAAGTGGAGTCTTTAGGACCTACTTTCAAGTCTTTGTAGCCTAATATTCTGCTCGGATAATGATGAAAGAAAGGCTGAACATTGCTACATCATTTAGGTAGGTAGGCAATACATCTGGGACACTATCTCAGGCACTGTTGGTCCTTGTTTTTTCATCTAAAAACCTTTCGAATTCGATTCACGGATATTGGACTAACCTTTTGTTCCTCGATACAAGAATAGCGATATCGCTTCTGCCCACGTCAATCATTCAAATCAACTACTCACCGATCCATGTCGATGCTCTTCTCATTCAAGCTTAACGAACTGGCGGCACTTCGTTCTCTCTATTTGCGCTACTAAAAGAGAAGACTTCATATGTGTTCCAGGGCTCAGGGCTGAAGGCCCCCCCGATCTAACTTTTTGAGGGGGAGGCCTCCATCCCCGGGCCCTTTTCCTGGAGGGACTGCCAGGCGGAGAGGCCTCCAAACGCCCACCTTCGCGGCCTCACGAGCCTCTTGCCTGTACCGTACAGAACCAAAACCCCGGAGGCCGTTCAAGCACCGACAGCGGGGGGGGAGGCTGCCGAAGGCGGCAAAGGTCCCAAGGCTGGACCCCCTTGCCGTGTTGCGTGTGCTCTACAGACCTCCCGCGCCGTGTTGCATGTGCCCTAAAGTGTTGCATGTACCCTACAGGCCTCCCGCGTGCGGGCTCCTCACTGGGGGAGCTTCTTGGGGGGATGAGCGCCAAAGGGGCCAGGCCTCGCGACCGTGGCCGCCTTCGGCGGCCTTCTTCCCCCGGCGGTCGTCCCCCTAATACAATAGGAGCCAAGAGGCGGGACGCCTGTGGGGTACACGCGGAGAGCCGCCAGGGGACTCTGGCCCCGCCTTTTCAGGCCTTCGCCTCCAGGAGTCCTTACATGTCACCACCGCGGAAAAAAGGAGGCGCGAACGCCTCCGCCGCTCCATGCACAGGAGGCAGCCTCCCTCCCTGGTACATATATTAGATAAAAACAGTAATAAAATATTGAGAAATGATCGATTCGTCACCTCTGTTGCACACTGTCGAAACATAAAAAACCTGATCCCATCAACTTTTCGTATTCTTGTTGCGTCAGATGCTCGGAAAGTTGTGACTCTGAGCTCTGAGTAAACGACGAGAACGAGCTGAAAGTCTCGTTCCGCGAATCTGTCCTGTTCACGCCGCTGCTTTAGGAGTATCGAAAACCCACCTTTTGCGGCATCTTCTAGATGTTTGAACGTTAAAATCTGGTAAAAGATGTTGCTACTAGATATTACAAATGCGGGTTCATGGAAACCTTAACTGTATATTCTGAAACAGGCCGGCGCCTCTCCCGCTTCATCATCACCCAAGTCGGAGGGAGAACAATTTGATTTTCCGATAATTAGCGCCCAACGTTTTATTTTCCTTCGCTAATTGAATTACTTCGGCCAATGATTGGCTACTATCTTATCGACGAGTCAATTACTCACCGATCCATGTCGGTGCCCCTCTCCTTCAAGCTTATAGGGGGGAGCCCCCCGTGGCTGAAGAGCGCCGCACCTACCTGAAGAGCGTGGCGCGCGAGGAAGTATCAGCGTGACGCGTGACAGCGTGACGCGCTGAAGAGCGTGACGCGCGGCGTGGAATAATTAGTAAGGCGCATGAGGGTGTGGCGCGTGCGCATGCTCTAGAGTGGTCCAACTTACGCGGCGAGGGGGGACGTTAGCTCGAGGGCTTTGCTGTGGGTGGTCATCCACTTGGTGCCCCCGCTTGCTTCTGATTGTTCGATGGACCCCGGCAGCGCTGGCCCACTAGTATGAGACTGAGCGGGTGAGAGACTGCCACGCGCGTCACGCCAAGCCCCGCCGATATGCTGAGCCATCCATAGCGCCTCACCACACCTTGACAAAGAGCACACCCCGCACAGCTCCCGGCCCCGCGGTATCTTGAGGGATTTTCTCCAAACACTCGGAGGAGCTTCCTTTGTAAGCCACTACAGTGACAGGCGACCACCAGCGTGCCGGCGCTACCTACTTACAGAGTGGCCCACAGACCGCGGGCGACTCGACTAAGCACGGCGATCCACTTGAGATGGTGGGCCTGCTCTCGGTTCATTCTTGGCCTGAGCCCACTCAAGATGGCTGGCTAATCCCTAAGCCAACTGCATAGCAGACCTGAGCCCACTCGTGGGAGCTGACGAGCGCCCAACGTGGATAGCCGACGCAAGCCCACCCACACCCCAGCAAGATAGCTGGCCCACACATCAGCACAGCCGGGGCCACTGCGTTTACCGCCGCAAGCTGCCTGCTGTAAGTGGCTCATCTCTAGCTGTTCACCAGGCCAAGCAAATAAATCGAGCGACCTCCCTCAGATCATAAGGCCGCCCGCGGATTTGTCTCAGACCACAGAAGAGGGCAGCCGAAGGATTTGCCTCAGGTCATCAGGTCGCCCGCGGGTTTGTCTCAGGTCATAAGGCCGCCCGCGGGTTTGCCTCGGATCATAGCATCGGACTTGCCTCAAGTCATAAGGCCACCCGCGGACTTGTCTCAGATCATAGCCATAAGGGCGCCCGCGGATTTGTCTCAGGTCATAAGGCCGCCCCTGGGTCTGTCTCAGATCACAAAGCCGCTCCTGGATTTGTCTCAGGTCGTAGGGTCGTCCGCGGACTTGTCTCAGGTCATAAGGCTGCCCCCGGTTTTGCCTCAGATCACAAGGCCGGCCCCGGTTTTGCCTCAGATCCATTAGATATAAGGGCGCCCGGTGATTTGCCTCAGGCCATAAGGCTGCCCGCGGGTTTGTCTCAGAATATCAGGGCGCCCGCGGATTTGTCTCAGATTCTAAGGGCGTCCGCGGACTTGCCTCAGGTCATCAGGTCGCTCACAGATTTGCCGCAAGATCGTTTGCGGATGTGTCTCAGATCATAAGGCCGCCCACGGATTTGCCTCAGGTCTTTCATAAGGTGGCCAACTCTGTCGCGCTCAGTTATATTAAAGCGCGACGGTGGCGCGCCACGCTTTAAAGCGTGGCGCCACGCTTAAAAGCGTGACGCGTCACGCATAGGAGCGCGCAAGCCTGCCCCGCTATAATCGGGGGGGAAGGGGAGAGGGTTTCGGTCTGCGGTCTATACGGCGCTCGCCAGGTCTTACGGAAGCCTCCCTCCCTGGTACGTATATAAATACGTAGACCAATACTCACTAGCTCGTTGTCTCGCGCAGTGTGGTTGAAACTTTTAATCGACTATGTAGCCTTGATGTGTTCGTCTCGGCGTTCTTACTCACACGACTATAATTACCTGCAATGCACATGCATTTAATCGAATGCAGCTCATCATGGCTATCTGAAGTATTCAAAATCTAGAAAAATCCTCAATAACCCTTTAGTGGTTGTATATCTTACAGCCTCGATCGCGGTCGACGCCGTCTCTAGGAAGCCGTCTTCAGGAGACAAGCCGTCTTCAGGAGACGTCTCCGATGTCAGTCGTTGAGGAGCTTCGGACGCCTTCTCGTGGCTCTGTACCTCTGGCGATATTGTTCCCGACGACGACTTCGTGTCGAGAGAATCTGTCTGCTCCAGTTGCTCCGATGAACGCGATCGGCCTGAAGACTGAAACGCACCGCGCAAGCTGCGCTGCGTGGAACGCTCCAAAAGCTCCAGCTCATCATTCTCAGTCAAGATTGGAGCGCGCTGAAACTACCACCACTTTTAATACGCAGAAGTTTCTTAAACTCCATCAATTTCTCCTTTACTTCGTCACGATTTGACATCATATTTACATTCACTTCTACTTACTTCTTATCAGCCAGACGACATCATTGACACGATTAAAAATGCAATTCTTCTTCTTGCTTTTTTCTCCACACGTGAGTCTACAACTAGAACTAGTAAAAATTCAAATATTAGTTACCAGTCGAATAAGGGACTTGGGCAGCCGTAATGGAGTGTCGGCATGAGCAGCATGGTGACCTCGCCTCAGATATGGTTGCCGGCCGAACGCCAACAAAGACAGGGCGAGCGAGCAGAGAAGACGCAGCCTCCTCTTCCTAAGCCTGCAAATAGGTGTCTTCAACATTCTGTCGGCGCATGCAGGATAGTGCGGACAGTCCTACGCGCGCATCGTCTCTTGCGCTTGCGCAAAATTGGTTTATGGACTCAAGCGGATGCACCAATTACCTAGTTGAGCTTGGTTCCTTTTTCCTAGAATCGACCGATTTCTTTCCTAGATCCGGCGGATTCCTTTCCTAGATCCAGGCGATTCCTTTCCTAGATCCAGGCGATTCCTTTCCTAGATCTGCAAGCTTTCCAATCTTGAAGTCTTGATCTGCAACTTTTGGACCCATCGAAATCACTGAACAATTTGAATTCGCAAGGATCTTTTGGCATTACGTGGACAGTTCTCAGGTGGCGCGAGACTGTGCAAATGGAAGCGCAGGCACAAACCTCAACGCGAACAGAAAGGGCCCAGCTCGAGTTGACATCCGGCGCGAGCGTCGCCGCTGGTTATTTTTTCCCGAGTGAATTCTATTTGTGAAACAATGATAAGTAGACCTGCGAGTTTGTTAGTCTTAGTTTCTTTGGTTTTTACTTTCGCTTTCCGCATCGGCATCAGGTCACTTTAAATAGTATATAATCTCGGTGAGTTCTGTCGTGTTTCAATCTTCATCATCTTTTTCGAAGGAATGAATGTAGTGCGTGGCCAGTAGCATGGTTTACCCATCGTGGTGCATTACGAGCGCCAGCTTTCTCTATGTCAATTCTACCAGAACCCTAGAGATATCGATTTAGTTCAGCTGCACACACTAGACGAAAATACTGACCCAAACTAACACGATGGCAGTGCAGTTCAGTACTAGTTCTTACTTTGGACGCATTCCGTCCTAGTTCTTAAGACCAAGCCAAAGCCATACCTAAAGACCGAGCCAAAGTCATGAGGGCGCGCCTCCGATGCGTTCTATAATTATTTTCATTGTACAAAAAAAACTCGCGACCCCGTGTGTTTGGTTACGCTGTGTAGTTCAACTTCTTTACCCCTATGAATGAAAATACAAACCCGCAAAACTACTTACATGGAAGGAAGATCGAAGCGACAACCTGCCTCGACAAAAGGGCCGAGAACGAGACCACCGGTAAGGCAGCTACGCAGGTATAGCTATAGCTATAAGCTTGCACTTCTATAATATTCAATAGGTGCCTTCTCGAGTTTTCTTGTCGTGATAACTATGGAGGACCACCGCGGCCCTTAACCCTGAATCTTGAAAAAACTGCAATCGTGTCTGTTGGTGATGATCTCTATGTCAATGTCTATCGCCATCGAATTGATAAGGATGGCCATCTTATTCTTTTCTACCTACATTCTCATCAAGAAAACGAAGCTGCTTCTTTTAGTGCTGCGGATGCGGTGTAGATGCAAAACACTAGCAGCATCATCATCAGCAAGCAAGTTACGACCCAAATAATTAAGTAAATCCAAAAATTTTCCACGTGTTCCGCGATTTTGCTTAGTCGTCTAGCTTTTTTTTATACCATGCACATGACTTGGAGGAAAATAATTGCTAACAATTCTTTATATGGTCGGACTTCCGTATAAACTCCTTACTTATCTTCAAGTTGATTCTGATTCTTATCAAATGGCGACCAGCAAGGAGCTTGCCACTTATATGAAAAGAGCGGCAGCCCCTTGATCTGCCACCAGGGGTAGATCTGCGACCAGGAAGATGAAGACGCGCACGCGGCGGTCACATTGTGAACGAAATAGCTGGAGAATATTAATATAGACACACCCCCCACGATTCTAGTGCTAGTTGTAGTTCGTTATGCTAGAAATAATATGCCCAGCAAATTAGTCTGAGCGTGGTTCTTCTTCATTATGGAAAGCCTTCAACTGAAATTATAATTATTAGCAAGAGGCTCAGCGTTCTGCGATGTGTGGATATGAATCGATAAGTAAATACCTCAAATAAAATTAAAATGACTAGGACTGATATCAACAACGTTCCTAATAACGATAAACATAAAGCGGCCCATAATATGCCGTGGCTCATAATGTGGCCCCCTACTCCTTTCAAGTTTATAGAAGTGGGCACCTGCTATGTGGTTGGATTGATCATCATCGTACTGAAAGAATGATATTTGAATATGAATTCGTCGTTCTCATTATGCTAATGGCTGCAATTACAAACGCAGCGAACTTTTCGGTAAGGAAACTCAGGCGAAGCCTATGAGCCACCGATCTGATTCTACAAATGCACCAAAGTTCGTCCCTATCATGTAGATGCACGGTCAACACCGACAAACTAATAGAGACACTACCAGAAAAGTACTTTCCTAATCATTTTGTTCCACAACACCCGCCCACCACCCCCCTACCACAAGTCCCACTTCCACCAGGTGCGTTCGTCTCTTTCTGCTGGTTCTCCTTTCGTCTACTTCTTTTTCGCCTTTTTGCTGCTCTTGGAGCTTGCCTTAATTCATCCCGAAGCGCATCCTAGGCGCGTCCCCCTCTACTTGAGAAGCCTCCCGGGGATGCTTCCGGGTGAATCACCCAAGGATGAATTAGGTTACGCCTTAACTTTAATTTTAGTTCCAGCAGCCGCAGCACCAAAGACAACCATCTTCCTCTTCTCACCACCAGCCTCATGCTCATCCTCATCACCAGACTCCTGGTTGTCATCGTCCAGGCCTTCTGCTGGTTGTTTTGTGCGCACGAATGGCATCAGCACCACAAATCGCGGCTTGTTTTGCTGATCGCCTTCCTGGAAGAGATTGCTGCACTTTTGTTTGTAGTTAGAAGAATCGCATAACTCTTGGCGCTTCTGCCTCCGGTTGTTAAGTACGCCTTTCCTCATTAGGAAAGACATAGACGAAGCAAACCGCACAAGAAGCACCAAAAGCTCGCGCGCCCCTAATGTACCACGCGCTCCGCGGGTCATGAACTGGGTGGGCCTTCGTGGTCTTGGCGTCATGAACTGGGTGG